CCCAGAACCAAGCTAATTACACGTTATTTGTAGTTGCTTTACACCTAATATTAATTACAAAGATTCTAAGCTACAAAATAAGACTTAAAAATTAAGATTTGAAAAATTGTCACATCCCAAAACATTGCCACAGGGTTCAAGTTTTTCCTGTGTTTCTGCAATCTTACACAAAATTTATTCTCTTCATTAGAGCTTTGTAAGAAGCTATTTTAATCTTGTCTCAAAGCAATGTGCAATCCCCAACTTGATTTTTAAAGTCTACTTGCTAAAGACTAAGCCAGTTTAATTAAACAAAACCTGTAACTTACCTTCCCAATATTTCCAGTAATTCTGCTATGCCATTGTGATGTTCTGTTTCATAAATAAACCTAAATAAATGAAAAGTTTTACTCAGTTACTACCGAATAGCAATACAAATCTAACATCAAGATCCCCATCTAACATTACAGGTAGCCTTGACCTCCCAGGTTTTAGTCACTCAGTAAAACAAAACAGAAACACATAGTGGAAAAGAAACTTGGTGGAAACATAAATCAACAGCACATAAAGCTGCTTTCAACCTTCCCACTTGCTTGCTCTTTTCTCCCACATTTAACAAAGCAGCATGCACTTGAGCTTTTTCCAATAATCATATTCTATGCCATTTTAACAATGTGAAACTGAACACAGCAAACAATGCTTTAAATATTAAAATAACACAAGAGCATCTAGCATAATCAAATGCCATGACTCAACCTTCTGTAGCACATGCAAGAACAAGGTGTTCAGGCAGTTACTACTTATGGATCTAAAAAGCTCGTTGGCATTATAGACTTCTGTGCATACAAAAGGCTCTGTAAATAAACAGAAGTCGTCTAATTTTTCCAAGTTTTCTTTTGATAGACCACTGTAATTTACTAGGCAACCACCCTTCCACCCTTCTTCTCAATCGCCTAATCGTAAATTTATTGAGAAAGTTCTATGCACAACTTCAGGTATTTTGCAAATAGTTATAAAAACTTACACTTATGAGAAAATAATTCCACTCATGAGAAATTAATTTTAATTTGAAAATTTGTCATAGACTGACATATTAACAGCTACTTTTAATTCGGAATATTTGATGTGACTGTGTTTTCTCCTTAAAGACCCTTTCCATACAATCCAGGACAACAATTCCAAGCAAAACTGAAAACAATCACATGAAAAGCTTTGGACTGAATTAACATGAACATAAATGTTTAATAATTAAAAAAAATTACATTAGAAAAAACTCCAAGATTAATGCACTATTGGTACAGAATTAATGCAGTTCTGGTCAATGACTAAAAGACAAAAAAGATCACACATTTCTTAGGTAAACACAGCAACAAACTGACAATTTGCAGGAAAAAGTATGAGAAAAGGAAATATTTTGAAAAACTCTACATATACTTTAAGAGCTTATCGTGCACAATCCACTAATTCAAGACAGAAGCGGAAAGAACTGCCCTCCTTGGTGCTCATATCCAGGAACACTAGTTTACATTTGGATGCAAAATGTTTCAACTTCTAGCTCCTAAATATTATACAACTAAGTGAGGTTTTCCCCTTATTTTTTTTCCCCCCTACAACCTGGTAGAGAAAGGTAGTCTCTACAGTGCAAATTATATAATCTCCCACACATTTCAGATTGAAAAACATATTGTTATACAAGCTATTACAAAGTTGATTAATGAGCAGAACATTTCTTAGTCTTTCAAAAGCCTTGCACCAGAATCATCTGTATTTGAAGACTTGGCTTCCATTATCCCTGCAAGAAAAGTGCAGGGAGTGGCAAATAAAAACACTGTTCAGAAGTGCATTATAATACACTGTGATGCTGCTGTACCATCTGGTTCAGATCTTTTACAAAATCATGCATTCTGTAATTTAAGTTTACATCCTTCTTTGAAAGATACACCTGTACCTTTTCCATAGGACATACTGGCTCTTGACTCATCCAGTCAAGAGCAGTTGTCTGCAAGACAGTGAAGGCTTACTAATTATTTTAAAGTAGCCCCTCTGTATCTCTGCTAAAGGCTTACTTGTTACCATAGACAGGGAAGATAAGCTCCCTCTACAGCTGGTACTGCTGGGTGCCATTCATGAGAGGGCACCGAGTATGTGGCAGCTTTTTGCTTTTTCTTTGCTATTAACATCATACATTCCTTTTGGGATGAAAACAACAGTGATAGAGAAAAAGGGAAGTGTGATGGAAGCAGTCTAAAACTGATACACAACATAATTATTTGTAGAGAAGTGTACCAAAACTGAAAGACTAAAAAGAGGCACCCTGATCTTGCATTCACACTTGACATAATGGTAGTAAAAACACACTTCTGAAGACCTTGGGCTTAATTTTTCATCTTTCCTTTTTTTTTTTTTTCTTCTGTATTGGGGATAATACTACAGTTCATTCTGTGGCAATTAAAAAAAAGTATTTCACAAGCCCTAAATGGTACACCTCAGTTCTGAGGAAAGAAAAGGCAGTAAATATGTTCCTTTAAGCAAATTCCAGATCTCTCAGTCATTCGATTTAAGCCCAACTTCTGCATTATGAAGAACTACATTTTATTAAGGCACTAATGTAATACTACTACCCAGTAAGAAAAAAAAAGCCTCACAGATAAAGATACCAACCCACCCACTGAATCACATACTAACTCAAATTTCAGCTGCCGAATTTATGCTGTGTGCCAGATTACCCTAATTTAACTCTCCTAGACTAGTATTAATTATTGTTAGACATAGCAATATTAGGTATAAACTTACTAAGAATTTAAAAAATTGCTAGCAGTATCTTGGAGTATTTTTAGTTGTGTACCTGATCACATGCACCATGATACAAAGATACTGACATACCTATAAAATATATTATTAATTTGTTTCCGGATGTAAGCTCTTAGGCCTAAGAATTTCCCATATATTCTGTGAAGAGTTGTTTTAAGAAAATCTCTTTCACGAGGATCTTCGCTGTCAAAGAGCTCTAAAAGCTGCAAAGAGGGAAAAGAAGAGATGCACTTTACTTGAATCTAATGCATTGTAAAAGTAATTTAGAGCTTGAAGTTAAAAATTCTTTTTTTTACCTCACCTGTAATACAAACTTCTGATCAATATATTTCTTAGCTATATTAGGTTGAAAATCTGGAGATTCTAAAAACCTTAAGAAAAATTCATAAACGAGCTGAAAAAAAACCAAAACAACAAAAACCACAATTAGTCTTTTAAACAAGGAACCATTTCATAAGCAGCACATTACCAAAGCTACTAATTAGTTGCTCAGAACTGCACAATGTTTTTATTTCTATTTATTTATAAGTAAAAGCTTTGCTCCTGACAAAGTACAAGAACTTAAGGTTCTTTAAACTGCATTGAAATTCTGCTGAGCTCCATCACTAGATTTTACTGAAATGACATACAGTAATCTAATATTCATCATGCCCAGAAGTATGTGTTTTGAAAAATTCTGTTCTCCTTTGTCACAGTAACTCTGAAAGCTAGAGCTGTGCCAGAGTCAGATCAAAGCATTTACAGTGACAAATGGAAGCTCATTTAAAACCACAGCAGTTACATCTGTACCGCAAAAAACAAAGAGCCTTTAACCTATAATACACTGAAATTTTAAAAAAGTATTATAAATTTAAATTCAAGAAATATTTTAAAATATTACAGAGAAATATAAATTACTTGAGATACAACACATAATCCAAACAATTTTGAGTCAATAAACGATGACTTTAATGTCAAAATTCTGTTAGACTATGACATCCTAGTCTTCATTCAATACCTGTAGATGAGGCCATGCAGCTTCTAAGGTTGGTTCATCTTCCTCTGGATCAAATTCTGCTCCCGTTGGATTGGAAGATGGTGGTAATGTTCGAAACATATTAACTGCAAACTGAAAACACATGTGCCTTTAAGAACTTTGAAACAAGTGAATGATGAAAAAAAGACTTCGAAGATGGTTTTGACTGAGAATTCTTAAAACGAACTATTTTAATTAATATTTGCAAAATTACAAACTATATAACCCAGTAGTTTAAACAATGAGGTACACTCATTCTTCTTTAAAGATTCCTAACTTGGAGAACACTTTTCCATGCAGTACTCTTTAAACACAAACCTACTGTCAGGACATGTTTTATAATATTTATATTGCTCTGATATCTTTACACACATATTTTTAAAGCCCAAGCAAATGTATGTAAGATGTTTACACAAACATTTTTTATATATATACACACACTTTAGAAGACCTTGCAACAACCTGCAAAAGTGGAAGTCAGAATCAAGAGATCCAAAACAAAGACTACCTGCAACTGTTCTCTCTAAAATATTATCAGTTTCATTTCACACCACTTTGAAACACTTTAAAACCAAATTCCTCCCTCCCTCTCTCAGTGGTATTTCTCTTAAACCGTGTCCATCTACCTGCCATCACAGGTGCATTGATGAGTGTGAAATGCACATCCTAATCCTTTAACTTCATCTGAATTCTCTAACCCCTGAAAACCATTTAGCATTCTCATGGAAGTGGAGCAAACTACAAAGATTAATTACTTTTAAAGTCATTGATATATATACAGATAAATTATTTTTGTGTTTCCAAGTGCTTGTCCAGACACACATTCATACTATGTATGAATGAAAGCAGTACCTTCAGAAACCTCTTTAACATGAGGAGAGCTTTAAATTCCCTAATAAAGAAAAAAAAAATTCCCTGTCATATGGACAGAAAATTCTTCTATGAGGTCCTGTTCTAGGAAAAACCACCTCATCACTAAATGCATGTAGCTTGATTTTTTTAAAACATAAAAATACATAATCAGAAAGAATCACATTTATATAAATTTATACAATACATATAATCACAAATGCAAAGTAAAACACATTTGTTGGCCAAAAAAAAAAAAAAGTCTTACATGATTTTTGGGATAAATTTAGCATGCATTCTCAAGAGTAACCTTACCTAGAATGGTCCAAAGATTTAAAAGGTTTGCAGTATCCTAAATCCTCCACCTGTAGTGACAGCTAGCAAAACCAGCTGGCTTCTTTGTGGATAAGAAAGAAACAACTAGACAGTGATTCAAATGGTTGTTCTCACACCCTGAGGAGTTAATGACTAAAACTGTACTGAGCAACTTGGAGGGAACGGGCTTCTGCGTGTGCCAGTAAGAAAACCTGAGACAGCCTTTATCTGTTTATGCAAGACAGCTATGGCCGTCCGTACTGAAAAGAGGCTAATTCCTCAATTCCACTTGTAATCTAGAGTATTAGGTGGGCAGACATTGGTAGGGGACAACCAAATTGCTGAGCAAGTAGAAAAACGTAATCTACTTAACCACCTAAGTGTACCCAAGAGACTTTCCTGTTCTGTTTTATTGTTTACTCATTATCAAACCAGTACCAAGCTGTCTAAATTTATTTTTGTACAGAAAAAAAAAAAATCAATTCAAATCAGTATATGGTCCCAAACTGCCTCCACTACTTCAAAATGATCCTTTGAAACAAATGCCTCAGTCTCTCAGCAGCTTGAACACATTGCAGAAACAATGAGACAACCACCAAAATAAAAACATAGTGGTGTACTGCCCTAGCCCCTTCAGAACCACTGAGTACATTAGGCTCCATAAAGATATTCTCTTCAAGTCTATTCCTTCTCACAGCACTAAAGTAAATCCTGCTATCAAATGCATAGATCATTTTGTGCTTTATAAAAATACTACGATATTTTAAAGTAAATTTTGGGAAGCTTTTGCTCACAATGGGAATGGTGGCTATGCTGAATGGAGTGCTACATCCTGCGCAAAACTGATTTATCAAATCAGCTGCAGCTGGCTGCGTGGAGCTTCAGCATAAGATATATATATTCTGTCCTAAGTATGTACCACAAGTACTGGTAAGAGTTAACCTATACATTGTTATTGATATTCTATTGCTGTAACAGATTGGAGGTGTCTTTTTGCAAGTAACTAGGGGAAAATCCATTTCCTAAAGCCTGGCAAAGTAAGAGACATTACTTGGGGGGGTAGGGAAGGTGATTTTAGAGGGCAGAGAAGGTGATTTGCCCAGAAAAAGAAAATTCTTTCCAAGAGGCTACATCACCAAGAGCGGCAGAAACATCTACAGAGCCTTTTCAAGAAAACTAATACTTGGCTCAGCAAACATGCCAGCACAGGGCATCTCCAGGACCAGGCGGGGGGGGGGGGGGGGGGGATACTCCATTAGAACTCGCACTGTACTGAATGTCTTACTTGAGGATGCAAAAGAATATTTTATTTCATCAGCTGAAAGGTTCCTATGTTTTCAACAAGCATATAATACAGCTCAATTTAAGGAAAAAACCCCTAAATCCTCTGAGTTTGAGTTTACTCATAATATAGCTATTCAAAATGCAAGGTCTATTCCAGTATCACTTTTAAAAATCTATTCTTTATGCCACAATTTCAGTCTTCATTATGTTCAAATTCCATCGCAGATAATAATCGCATGTGCCATACACACATTTTTATTCTTTTCTCAGATTTTAGTAAGGTTTTGTTTGTTTGTTTGGGTTTTTTGTGCTTTTTTTTTTTAATAGCATCAAAGCTTTCTTGCTGATCATTTGAAGATTACTCAAAAGCTCTGAAAGATTAAGCTGTCTCAGTTTAAAGATGCTACTTTGCAGAGGAATGCATTCCACCGCTCTTTGGTGGGATTTTGGGAAAAGCAACAGAATGCCATGTTTCCCTCTTCACATTCTGACTTCTTAACACCTCCATTCAGTTTAAAATAATGCTGTGAATTACCTATTAACTGGCAGGGCTAAGGAGCATATGTATGTGCTGTCCGGCCATCTCACATCTGACAGATGGCACAGCAGACAGTGGGAGGCAGTATCAAACTGCATCAGCTAAATCTGCAAGACTTGCATCATATTCCCATGAAGCAAAAGTCATCCTGATGCTCTATTTTTCCTCAGAATATTCCTTTATTTCAGCACCCGAGACATAGGTCTGATACAGACCGCAATTGGCATATCAGAGTAACTACTATTTTAGAGAATTAAAAGTTAAGCTAAAGTATCTGTATGTTCCCCTTTTAAAAAGCATTGACATCAAGCAACTAAGAACCTCCAACCCTTGTTTAAAGAAGTATGGTGAAAATTTACAATAATCAATGGTCTTCCAAGAAAACAAACCCAGGAAGACTAGATTTGACATTTAAAACTTGCTAAGGTTGTTAAGCAAATGGAAGAATAATCAGCCTTTTCTAGATGAGAAAGTCTTAAGCTCTCACTATAAAGAAGAAAAGCCAGGTCACATAAGATGTTAGGTACAGTGTTTTATATTTTTTATTTTTGAGAATATCGAATTGAAAGAGTTAAAATCCCAAAACAGAATAATTTGTTCCATGAGCCATGCAACCAATGAAGCCTGATTTGATTTGTTTGGTGTTTTATTTCCTTGACTAACAGAACACAAAACCAAGGTGCAGTATCGCTCCATGAAGGCACAAACCTCAAACTCCCTTGCCTATTAAGTCACTGAAATTTAGCCAAATTTACGATGAATTAGTATCAGTGAGAACTTTACCCTTCTGTCAAACAGCTGACCTTTTTCATAACTTCTCAGTCATTTGCCCAAACAGACAAGACAAGCAGCAAAGTCTAATTTCCTCTAGGACCAATTTCCCAGAGAAGTACTAAGTAAACATAGCATAAATGAAACACATCTCCTCCCCAGTTCCCCCTGCCCTCAACAAAACCCCACAAGCTCCCCACTAATTTATGAAATTTGAGTCTCTGTGAAAACTGGGCTAGTGTGCCAAAATTATCTCTCTGCTGTTAGCACTGACAATACTTGACTCCAAAGGACATAACTTAGGAGGATGGGAGAACAAAAAAGGAAAAGCAAACCACCTGCCTTTTTACCGCTTTACAGATATATTTGCTGTAACGGTAGTTGTGCACCCTGTTTTTCTGGTGGCCCATTTTACATAACACTGTAGATTATTTTCAAGCAAGTAAGCCTCAGAGATATCATTACACATTTTCTCCTCCCTTCTGCTGAGTGAAGTCTGACATGAACAGCTCTGAATAGCAAGCCATATAATCTGTAAGTCTGTGCCTTCTATATTCATGTGAATAAATCCTAATAGCTAAACAGAACCACAAATAGTACACTTCTATTTAAAGTAACATCTCTTATTCTAGACCAAAGATCAGATTAAAAAAAAAACAAACCAAAAACCAAAACACACCTGCAAAACCCCTAAAACAAAAAAATCAATCTCCTATGGGTATAACAGAGTATGTTAATTTAATCTTCATAATGCATGAAAAGCTGCAGTGAAAACTGCTTCAGTTGCTGAATAAAATTCTATCTGTTCCTATATATTATCAATTTTAAAAAATAGTATTATCCTATGTCCTTCACAAAAATGTTAATTTACCATCAACAAGTACTTCATCATCACTAAGGAAATTACTCTGGGAGCTACAGAAATAAGTGTCCTGGTTTCAGCTGGGATAGAATTAATATTCAAAACAAAAATTATACACACACATATAATATATGCATGTATATCTATATATACTCATACATAAATGAGTAACCTCCAAATGGTGAAGGTGAACACAATGGCACAGTAAAGTCCAAATTCCTACGCCAACTACCAATTTCACAAGCTTTCCAAACCAGGAACCACTCTTAAATCCAAGTATTTCTTGATCATTCATAATTTTACTGAAAACACTATTCCTTATTCATATCAATTCAGTGGCAGTAGCAGTACACTACTTACCAATGTCTCTTGGAAGAGTCTTAGAGCACGTAAACACATTAGATTTATTCTCCCATAAAATCCACACAATCAACTCAAATCTACTACTAGAACTTAGCAAAAGTATGCCTCAATCTAGGCATACGTTCCTGAAAAAGAAGCTGATAATACTATTGCAAGAAGAAAACAGTTGTTTCAGAACAGATGACCAAAAGAAAATTGTTCCATAAAAGAAGCCTAAAAAAACTGCTACCTGAATTTAACCACAAAATACTACTCCAGGTGCCTTCACTGACAGTGACTATTGCAGTGTTAAGTCCCATGCAAGGAAACCCTGTCCCCTTTAAAACCTTGCACATAAAAAGCATTTTAAATTGACTGAAAGAACCGTCACATAGATGCTGCGTGTTCCCAGCAAAACACTGGCAATTAAGATAGCAGCCGAATTCTGCACCAAGATTTTTTAAACTGACCAAAGTACAGACTTTACCAGTAGCATCTGAAGGCAAAAAAAAAAAATTCTCCTCAGCCAAATGTATTCTGGCCATAATGGTCTGATGGAGGAAGATAATGCAGGCACATAAGGCAAAAGTTAGGAAATTACAGGCAGTTAGGACTTCTACACAGAGCAAACACTAGTGTCTGATCTAGATATTCAAGAACTCATGATGAACTCCATTCTACCTCAGTGAAGTCTCAGCAAGCTCTTTCTCTTTCATAACTCCCTTTTCATCAATGTCAAGTATTCCAAAACAACCAATCAATCAGAAAAAAAGACAGAAATAAGCTATCAAGACACAAGAAAAGCCATGATCCCACATGTCCTCAATTAAGCATCCTCAATGCTTTGCGTACATGTTTGACATCTAGAGTTACATGTAATCCTCATATACTCAGAAGTTCTCATGAAAATAACTTCTGTATCAGTAAACACTTATAGCTGATTTAGATAACAAGTTATCTTCAGAATAAGGAGCATCTTTCATACTATACATCATTAGAATCTTTGAAGAAGCTTCAAAGTCTCCAATTTGTAGGAGGACCTCAAAATTTGACTAAGTTCATATTTATGTTGAAGATGCACTGTTTTCTCACCCCCTGAAAATTCACCCCAAGCTATAAAGTCTTGGGAAAAACCATCAAGTCACTCAGAGTCAAGAATTTCTTGCAGGCTTAGTAGTCAGGAATTTCAAAAGATGCTTTCTGTTCTCTGTGCATTGCAGACAACAGCTACAGACCTCAACCCAACTGCTACTCCAGGCAACTGGTCACCACAGTAAGAGCTGAAAGACTCTCATGTAGTTTCATGGTCTCCTCCTCTGGAGTGGACTTAAGCATGAGAGAAAAATAAACCAGGTGTAGCTGGGTAGGATTTGGATAGTGAGAAGGCAGAAACAATGCAGGTCTGAATGGTTCACATAGCTTGTTCCAGCAGAACCCTCATCTGCCATCCTGTGTACTAAATAACGTCTGACTCTCATTTTCACCTCTGAATACAGAACAAAAGTCAATCCCTAGTACTGAATGGGATTACATAAGATTAAGTGTCAAACTTGCACAGGTGATCTTAATTCTAATCTTCTAGTATTTTTTTTTAATTTATAGTTTTGCAATCTACATGTTTTTTTAACAGCTAGAGGTATTTAACTTTCCTTCCTATATTTATAAACACCTATGCCAAAAAATATTTGTGGGGAAAAAAGAACCCTTTGGGTTTTTTTAAATACAAGATTTCATTTATACCAACTTAAACCATCATTTACTTCTGCTTCATATACATCCCTGCTTCATACGCATGCCTAGTTTCTATTTTAAAAAGAAGAGGAATCAACACTGGCAATGGGATTTAAAAGCACTGTTATATTACCATTTTTCAGATGTGCAAATGTACTTCTTTTTTGAAGATTTCATTAAGATTTCTTAAGATAAATCGATAGAGCTGAAGAAGCAAAAAACCTCAAAATAATCTTTACTGTTAAATCACTTACCATATGTACTACTTCAGGGTAAATAGGTTCTGTAATCACATTGCGATTGTGTGTGATATATTCTACCATTTCACTTAAAGCTGCTCGTTTTACTTCTTTCCACTTCAGGTCACTTAGTGGATCAGAAACAAAGTCAAAAAGTACACAACATTGTCGTAACTTCTGGATAAAAAGTTTTTCTTGATCAGCAGGAGGAACATCTGAAAAATGAAAATAATCGGTTATAAATTATATTGTAGTAAGACTTTACTCTTCTCCCCATTTTTACTTCCCAAGACATAGGCATAGCAGTGGTTAAGACTACAAGCAAAACTTTCTTATCTTCAAACAACTTTCAGGAATATTATAGTCTATAGAGCACGAATCCCAGTAAAATACACTGTACATGACAGGATAATTTAACAAAGTCGCAACAGTGACGCATACTTGCCTTTGCCAGAAAGAGATATAATATATTTTCCCTCCCCTGTCCAGCTGAGTGATAGAGCAGCTTTGGTGGGCATCTGGCATCCAGCCAGGGTCAACCCAGCACAATGCTGCATGGAAAAAATACATACTTGAAAAAAAGCCTCAAGGAATTCCCCAAACAGCTCAGTTTGTGTAAAGAATATCATACCACGTTTTCAGAAATACTCTGTTTTTAACATTAGAAATAAATGGGTGGATCTTCAGTTTCAGCATTAGATTTAAGCCAGAGCCACTTTTTAAACCTGGGAGCTGCCACCTCACAAAGTCCATTTTTTATATCAAGTGCCTCCTACGACACAACAGGCTGCAGTAACCACATCTATGCACAGAACAACTATTCAAGATCTTTTTAAACTTCTTTGAATGTTTCTTGTGCTAATGAAACTGGAGTAACACACTTAGATCTTGTACTATTTGGTCAATTTGTAACACTATATTGAATGTTTCTTTCACATGTACAAGAGTTAGACTTGCATCATCAATCTATTTAAGCACTTTCAGGAATCTATCTGGTTAAATGTGCCCAGTACTGCAAAATTAAACAACACTGGACTTCTAGAAAAGACTATACTTAATCAGCAAGATGAATATGTTGTGAAAAAAATTAACAGTAAGTTTTAAAACAAATTGAGACCTTGTTTAATATTTACTCATTGTTTAATCATCACTCAGATGCAGCTGATAAGAAAGTATATTGATTTCTCTCTTCTGTCATACCTATTAAAAATATTTCAGAGGCTTCAGATATCCTGAGGCCAGACTCCCTCAACTTCAATAACAAATTAAAAAAAAAAAGAGACTATTTGTACTCTTCCAGTAACGCTCTATATAATTCAGCCTGTACCACCGTTATACAGACACAACCTTTTGAGACAAAGGTTGCATTGCCTTATGCAGTCTTTGTGCCATGGTATTTTTATTGTTTGACAAGGATACCTAGGTTATAAAAAATTCTGACATCTTTACCTCCCAATTTTTACTTCCTGTGCTTTACATCTTAATCCTCCCTGCTGACCCTCCCTAATTATTTAGCACTTGCACATACAGCGAAATTACATTGCGCAGTTGAAACTTTGTACACAATCGATAAGCAAGTAAGCCAGCACTAATTTTGCCATCAGTATTTTCCAAAATAATGAACCTTCAAAAAATTAAATATACACTCACATTGAGATAAACCGACCAATTAGGACTTGCAACTGAAGCAGGCCTAAATCACAAAGTCCAAAGATAGATGTAGAAGTTTAGGTTACTGTTAAGAAAGAACTAACACTAGACTTCTGTTTCTAAACATTCCTATGTTGACAAATTAAAATGCTTCCTCTGGCTAACATTTCAACAGTTAGAGAACAGAAGTTATGCCTTTTAAATCCTACAGAGCTTTAGCCTTGATGCCACAAAATTCCGCATGTGCTGTATTTTTCGCTTAAGTAATCCCATGAGCAGTTAAGATGACTAGTGCATGTGAAATTACAGATCATTATACACAGCAAAAGCTTTCAGGATCAGGACCTTAACATTCAATACTTAGGAAACACCAGAGTAATTGGCCAGAGATAAAGCAAGCCATATTTTGACAGCAACAGAAATTAATGTCCAGTTAAAATGGCCACATGACTTCAGCACTAAGCTTAAGGCAAGAAATGTGGACACACCACAGAAAGTCTGCATAAATTTACACCATAATACATTTATGCTTCTGCATAATATTTTGTATTGTTAGATATGAACTGCTAAGACATTAAAAGCATGTTAAAAACAGAGTAAGACACGATTGCCTTTGCAAATATTTCTGCAGTTTACTCCCACTTCTTCCAATTGATGACTCTTCTTTTTCCTTAGAGTATCACAGAATGCTAAAATTCTCTTAAACACAAGCAGCAAGAGCCTTCAATACCATCAAAGTCTTTCAAGTGGTACTACTGAATATAAGCGCATACAACCTAACACATGCACGTACAATCTACTAAGCTTAATGTCTGACATATGTACAGTCCAGTTGATTAGTTAAATACAATGAGTTGCTCTCCTTTAAGTGCCTGACAAATTCCTCCTTAAGATAACAGAAGCTGGAGTAGCTCCTACCTCCGCAGAGAAGTTGCTTTCAAAAGTACTTTTGTTATAATAAACCTGGAAGACATACTTGATTTAAAACATCTGGCAATTTTTTTTTAAGTTATGTATACTGAATTGCTCTGAAGATTGAAAGTAATAGCCCTGAAGAACATACAGAATAAAAAAAAGTAGTGTACATGAAAAAAATCATTACCAGACTTCAGTGTCACTAAGACACCTGGGACAGTGAAGACTTCAAGAACTAGAAAGAAGGTGTTAAATGACAGGTGTCCCTAAACAGAGCAACAACTTTCTGACAAATAAACCAAAATTCCTGTCCAGTGTTGTGAACAAATTGAAGGTACTTTAAGCCACACAAAGTTTGTATCTGAATACACATGCTTTCGTCTATTTGGATTAAAAACTATAGCAATGCACAATTTCTCCTGGAAAAAGAGTATTTAATCAAGTAGTTTGCATACTGAAAGCCAGCCAAATCTATGACCTAAATGTAAAAAGTCTCAGATGTATAAAGTGGTTGGAATGGTTACCTTTTCCCAATTAACTGTAAAATGGAAAGCATAAGATCACAATTTCACTTAGGGATACTGTGCTATGAATGTATACTCCACAAAATCCAAAGCCCAAATAGACTATAATCATACAAGTAATGGACATACAATTACAGTGATTTACAGTACGCTAACCTGAAAGGAGAGGAAGCATTAAAGCTGTAATTACTACTCTCTTGGAAGTTAAAGACTGACAACTAAGAGGGTCACGAAACACCCTCACAAGGCAAGCCACCTCCCTTTCCATTTATTCTGAAGTGGCTTAACCATTTTAAGTACCTCAGTCATCCTTGTTATTCTAGCGGGTATGTTCTTTATACAAACTGAGAACCTCACATATTGCTAAGGAACTGTGTTTTGTTTGTTTGGGTTTTTTTTGCCCTTTAAGAGTGTTCATCAACAGCTTTCAAGTGTCCAGACCTCAAATCTCTTGTGGCCCTTGTATGGAGTACTTGCCGTGAAATCAAGATCATCCCTACTTTTACGGTTTGAAAGGATGATTTCAGTATGTTAGAAAATAGAAGGTGGTCAAGAAGCTTGAGTAGGCTGTAATTTTTGCGCAGAGAACAAATGCACTCCTGCAGAGCAACTCCAAGACACCCCAAGAAATCATTTATCCTCAGCCACATGCCAGGGACTATCCGATTACGTTCTTTCAGTTAACTGCATGGTGACTTCTACATTACCTTCCACTTCAATTAAGTGATAACACCCAATTTCCAATTGCTGAAGTTAACAGTCATATTTGAAGAGAGTGCTCTCAGGTCAAAGTTTCCATAATTGAGCAACTGTGGTCCTCCATTCCCCAGCGACCATGGGAAGGCCATGGTTATTCAGAAGCTACTCCCTACAATTATTCCAAAACTGACATTTGGAGCTATTCACTGAGCAACATGTTCTAAAAAACCAACACCCAAACAAACCAGCACCCCCAATAAAAATGGGAAAAAAAAATACACCCTGCCATTTGCTAGCCACTATTAACATAATTTTCACAGAATTTGTTTCTAAACAGTGGCACTAGTATAATCTTAAGACTCTATTCAGTCCAAACACTTATTCCTGTCAGTAATCATACTTTAAATGATTACTATTTCTGTTCTTCTACTGGAACAGGAGCATAGTTTTTCAGAACCACAAAGAATTTCAGCCTTACATTTGCATTGGATCTCTAGCAATTCTCGACACAGATTTACACAAATATTTTAATGGCATATTTTATGCTTAAATCTGCATTATTTATCCGACTGTCCTTTTTGTAGGATAGAAAAATACACTAGAAAAAGTATCAAAAGAAGGTAGGTAGTATGATACCAAAGTAAGCCTCTGGGCCTGAGGGATCTTTTTGTCGTGTTCAAGTTTTTCAGAGTTTCTTTCCTTCCAGTCCCAGGATAACTGTTAGATCAACTCTAACAACCTACTGAGATGCAAGCTCTACGCCTTCTACTTTAACAGTACTGATACAGAAGTAGCTATCCAGTTTAAAATCACCAACATCATCTTAGACTGTGGCCTTGCCACATAAACTTGCTAATGAGTAAAATAGGTGTCTTTCCACTGTGTAACTGGTACCAGCTGTGCTTTTATTAGCAGACTAACTATACCAGTATCTCACTCTGAAGGGCAGCACTTTCAGTCCCTATCTGTTTGAAACAGCCAGGACCAGTATCTCACTCTGAAGGGCAGCACTTTCGGTCCCTATCTGTTTGAAACATCAACAGCAAGACCAGGTAACAGCTACCGACTGCCTTAGCAGAACACTGGTTGGCTGTAAAATCTAAATGGTAACAGCTACCGACTGCCTTAGCAGAACACAAATGGTTGGCTGTAAAATCTAAAATTTAAGTGGTCGATGACTTTGTATGAAAACCGAGTCCTTGGAAGTTTCATGTATGTCTTCAGCCGTTCTTACTGCGAGTTAAAGGTAAATGAGCTCACTGCAAATGAACTGGTCACACTGGCAACCATCCTCCCTCTGTCCTTGTTGGCTTCTCAGCCAGGATGTGGCATCAGTCTGCACCCAGGAGCTATCGTGAGACTACAGCACCCCGAGAAACCACCTTTTTTTTTTTTTTAAGGTACAGCATAGCTGAAGAAATGAAAAC